TACCAAGAACAAATCTTGGATTTAGTTTCCCTAACTTATAAACCCGTAACAAACGCAAAAAAAGCTGGGTAAGCTAAACAAAAACTTAGTTTACGAGCTTATAACTAGTGAAGCACATAGCATTAGAATTAGAATACTAAAAGTAGTACAAAATTCTCTTGAAACACAAACATCCTTCAGTTTAACGCAGTTGGATATAATTCTCATAAGTGGGGTGCTTTAGGAAAGTGCGACGGGACAACATACTGACAATGGCTAAAGCGACTGATGAGATATGAGATCATGTTTGCGACAACACACATCGATTAAAAAATGACCAAGCTAATGACGAAAAATGGTTCACGACAAATATTGAAACAAACCTAGACACCTAGCAAATCGCGCCACTCGATCGCCCGTTAACGGTACCCGCCGTTGCAAAATGGGCTGAACCGAAACCCGCTCTCCACCCATCGTGAAGCTGATTGGAGTCCTTAGCAATTGGAAAAAGTAAATGCAAAAACCTCACTTCTATAATTACATATACACAAACCTTCCTATTAACAATATTTTACTTATAATTGTCGCAATCATCACTTCCGCCATTAACACATCATTTTGGATAGCCAAGAAGATTCGATGAAGACAAGCCTTCAACAGAATTTCCATAGAAATATAAACAGAATAGGTAAGACACCGATGAAGGACTTACCCGAAACAAGTCAAAGTAAGGATAACGCGAAAGAATCACATAAACTCTTGGTCTGAATGTAGAACTCGATGGATGGTACAAATCCTCGCAATCCTCGTCTGAACCACCCAAGCATGGTTCATAGACCTGGAAATTAAGTCTGTTCAATACAAGTGGTATTTTTGCACAGCAATTATGTCTAATTTTGAAAAAGCAGATTTAAAAGTTTTCATCAGATTAAATGGATAATCTCACAGTAGATTTACAGGACGCCAGTAGCAATAGCAAAAAATTAAATTTATCGACACTAAGTTACCTGTAAGCAACAAGCATACTGATGTGCACCCATAAGATCCGTGAGCGTGCACACAAAAAAGGTTGGGTCAAGTTGCTTGTGTGCTAAACTCCAGCCGTTAGGAACACAAAACTGAAAAAAAAGGGTAGAGAAAAGAGAATTGGTGAGATTCTAAATATTTGGGCGTTAAAACATATTAGCATTGTTAAATGAGCGATTTATGTACAACCCCTCTCTACTCTCCTTTTCCGGACCGAAAATTGTGTTTATTTGTCACATCAAATGCACAAAACTTTGAAGGTCACTCTTTTACATATTAGTGATTATTGAAGGACCAAGTAGAGTAGGAGATTATGCATACGATTAACTAGTTTTAACAGTGCCCAAACAGATTTTTTCAGAGGTTTTTTTTGAACGTCCTTCAAAAAATGCTGATAAAAAAAAAACTAAAAAGCATCGCACGGACTAGAATATGTGGGGTAATTACAAACACGAGAATATTCAAACTTCTCATTGTATGCACTTCTATGTGCCAGTTCATGTAAAAACCGAGCAATCCTCTTTAGCGCAATTACGAAAGAAAGCAACAGTGCCTCATTTATCGGAAAATGAGCAGAAAAGTCAACACAATTGAAATTAAGCTTACCATAGAGATGCTATTTGGAAAGGGGACATCTGGCCATTCAATAGTTGGCAGACGACGTGTGACTATACCCACGCTACTTCCATGCCCTGTAATATTTTTCAAATGAAGTTGTCAAATTTCTCGAAGCAGATTATGGCCTACTAATTTGAGCCTCATCAAGTTGTAGCTCAACGAAATAATCAGCCAGACGTGGTGTGCATTGCCTCTCCACCTCACTCACGCTCATCCTAACTTCATCGAAAACTGGAAAACAAACTAGTTATCACAAAACAAGATTTACAGAGTTGAGCCACCGCATGGGGGAGATGTCTTGCAGCTCTAAGCAAGACAGATAGCCAAGCCGATCGTTTTCGCGGTCAACGAGACGACCGGAAAAAACGTGACGTGAAAGTCGAGAAAACATTGAACGATCAATACTTGACGATAGCTACTATACGGCAGTCGGATATGAGTAGTATTTACAGGAAAATCGTTAAAAGCGTTTTATGGCCGTATTTTCCATGGTCATTGGTTAATCGTACAAACGCCCGGAACATCGATTTCCGCAGTACATATTTAAAGGCAAAAAATAAACAAGAGGTTTTTGTCAGTTGCAACACCATAATGAGATCTTTCATTGATGATGATTTGCCGTGACGTACTTTCACTCAAAGTTATTCACGAACCAGTGGCTGCGCTCC